CAGGTTCAACTACTCGGTCCCTCTGGGTAGCTGGCTGTGACCAAGCAGTGACCACAACCTTGCCCCTTGTCGGCTCTACTATACGCCTGGGAATTCTGATCATTCACATAAACTTATAGGACCATTGTCAGAACATCTTTGAAGAAAACCTTTTAATTTCACTGGGGTGAGATGAAAGAGGAAGTTGACTTGGCAACAGCACTCTTTCAACAATCAGAAATTCTCTTTAGTGTAACAGGAAACAGACACAACCTCCCATTCTCAGTTTATCAAAACCATTTTCTTCATCTCAAAGCCCAACTGAAAAAAAATCACCTGATTCCCCTCAATCCTTATGACATTGCTCCGTCTTCTGCTGTGCCATGGCATGCTGCTGCTCTATTCCTAGCACAGCAGGAATCATACTCTCCTCTATTTTTCTAGACATCAAGTTCTCTGACAGCAGGGATGGCCTCTCATCTGTGGGCCTCTGCTGTCAGTGCTGTGCTTGGCAGTTAGCTGAGTTCTAGAAGTCTGCTCAGTTGAACTTTGAAATCTACCTTCCCCATAACTTACATGCTATTTACAGATAGGAACTACCCTTTTTCATACTCATTATTTCCCATACTACCAGCAGGAACCCAATATACTTTTGATGAGATAAGTATATGTGTTTCGGAACTCATGCCATTCTCATACACTTATCAATGTCTTTGTCGAGTAACAAAAAAAAATCTACATTTAAAAAAGAAGTCGTTACCGTGTGCTGTCAAGTGGATTTCAACGCACAGAGAGAACCTAGGATGGAGTAGATCTACCCTATAGGGTTTCCTAGGCTGTAATCTTTATGGGAGTAGATTGCCAAGTCTCTTCTCCCACAGAGCAGTTGGTGGATTCCAACTGCTGACCTTTCAGTTAGCATTGTCAAAGCAGGGCTCCTTAAGAAAAAAAAAAAAAAAAAAAAGCATTGTATTTGCTTTTTATAATAATTCTCAATGGATTTTTGCCCATCTCAATTTCTTTCTCCCAAAATGTGAGCCTACAAGCATATATTAACATCCAAATCTAATATAACTACAGTATTTCATTACACAAAAAGAAAACGATAACTTACCTTCTCTCAATGACCCTCCAAAGCTGGCGCCAGAAGTCCAAATTTCTTTCAAACGGAGTTAGTATTAGCTTTTGTTCCTCTTCTAGCCTGGCTTTAGAATAGAAAGTTTATACCTTTGCCATATCATAATAGAAGGTTTCAAGCAGGACAAAAGCACAGATTCATTACGTTAAAAAAATAAGTACACAAATACTAACTGTCAAATTATTTTTATACATTTTCTGTTAACATCAAAATAAAATTTATCTGATAGCACACTACACCAAATGTGTGGGATCGGGCAGTGTTTCGTTCTGTTGTGCATGGGGTCGCTATGAGTTGGAAACGACTCGACAGCACTTAACAACAACAACAACAGCAACAAGCCATTTAAGTCCTGGAAGTTTATCTATCACACAAAGTCCCCTTTCGCTCATACACTTTGCCCTAGAACAATGCTGAGGAGAGCAATGATAAAAAGTTCCAGGTGCTAAATGGCTACAGAAGAGAAAGAAAGGAGAAAGGACCAGAACTGAACAGAGTAACCAACTCACCATCTTTGTGCAAGTATGCACATGAACCCACAAGGTTGTGTGTACACACATCAATCTGCAATTTTAAGACGAAACTGCCATTTCTCTTTTAAAAGAATATAGATTTCAAAATGTAATTGGCAATGCAAACTCACCAAACTGCCCGAATTGAGGATTTCAAGGCAAATCGCCCTGTCAGTCTAACACTCACCGGACAAGCTGACGTCTCCATTCTAGAAAGCTACCTTTCTCTGCCTGTTTGAGTTCTTCTGGACTAGTTCTTTTGTTCCAGTTCGGTCTGAAATGATCACAGAGGCAAAAAATTTGCACATGAAGAGTTACCAAAATACAACAGGAGGTTCTTAAATAATGGCTAAGAAAACGAAGCATGAAAACAGTAAACATCAACTCAGAATTTTATACTGAATGGCCTTTTTATGCTTTATAATATTCTAAAGTCTTGTTGAACTCACCTCCTTGGTATACACAAGAACTGTCTGTTTTCTTCTTGTAATTTCTTAATTCTTTGGCTCTCCTCAAAAGACAGCAGTCCAGTTCTAGCCTCAGGAAGCACAAACTTAATATTAAGCTTCTCTGTTTTAAAAAAAAAAAAAAAAAAAGCATGATTACTTAAGATACAATACAGATACTGAGTATTGGTCATTTTGAGAAACTTGAAAAACTAGGTATATGAGAGCCTAAAATGTAACGGAAGCTTTTCTCAGATTCTTTTAGACTTAGACAAATTATAATTTCCAAATGAAGCTTTCTATTCCCTTATTCTCAAGAGAGAAAAGAATTCTGGTTCCCTCTCTTGAACTTTTCAACTAAGTGTGTCATCTTCCAGGTCTTTTTCCCCCAATATTCATATTTAGACACAGTGAAGACTGTAAGGAGCCAGAACTCCATGGGACTGCCTTATTTTCCAGGTTTTTTTCCACCTTCAATGAAGTGTCACTTTTCTATCACTGGCTTTAGTGGAAGATAATTTGAGTTTTCCTCTCTGATAAGTTTCTTCTTTATAGTTTCTACCTTTTACTGTGTGTGGATTAGTTAGATTTCTTTTTTATGCTAATGACACCATTCTAGATACACCATTTTGCAACTTGTTCTTCATTTGATAACAGGTCTTAGAGATCCTTCACATTAATACGCAGAGATTACCCTCATTCTTTTTAACTGCAATATATTATTTCATTGCGTGTTTGTAACAGTTTATTTAGCCATTTTCCCTCTTCTGAATGTTTAGATTGTTTCTGAGTTTTCACTGTTAAGACAGTGCTGTATATATTATTCTGGTACACCTTCTGGTGCACACGTGGGTTCCTCTAGGGCAAGTGTAGCCCTTGAACCAATAGCATCCTCACCATCTGGAACCTTGTTAGAAATGCCAATGCTTAGGTTCCATACCAGTTACTTAATCAGAATCTCTGGAGGAGGGATTCAGCCACCCACGTATCCAGGTAGTTCTCAAGCTCACTAAAGTCTTGAGAACCACCGCTCTAGGGTAGATACTGAGAAGTAGAAATGCTGGGTAAAAAGATACATTTTTAATAAATACTGCCAAACCACATGTTTTATTTTCAACCTCTCCCTCTCTACTGGCTCTCACCCCAAAACCTATGAACATGCCAATGTTAACCTTTATCCTTCGCCTAGGTACAGATACAAACATACACACCCTTTCTCTCTCTTTTCCTGCTACAGTCAAATACCTCATAAGATACCACATGTCAATTTCCTCAACTCTCTTTCCCTCTTTCTTTAACTTCTTACAATTGTGGCTCCATTACTCTATTAAATCTGTTCTAGCAAAGCTGACTCATATTTTAAAAATAGCTTTATTGAGATATAAATCACATACCATAAAATCCACCCAACTAAAGCATAAAATTCAATGATTTTTACTCACAAAGCTGTGCAACCATCACCTCAATTTTAAAACATTTTCAGTACTCCAAAAAGAAACTTCTTACCTATTAGCAGTCACTACCTAGTCCTCTTCCCTACCCACAGCCCTAGGCAACCACTAATCATGCTGTCTATGTCTAGAGATTTACCTATTCTATACATTTCATACAAATGGAATCATACAATATGTGCTCTTTTGTGACTAACTTTTCACATACCACGTTTTCCAGGTTCATACATGTTGTAGCATCTATCAGTACTTCATTCCTTTTTATTTCTGAATTTTAATCCATTGTATGGCTGTAACTCACTACTGTCAAGTTGATTCTGACTCATAGCAACCCTGCAGGACAGAGTAGAACTGTCCCATAGGGTTTCCAAGGCTATAAGTATTTACAGAAGCAGACTGCCCTATCTTTCTTCCATGAAGTGGCTGGTAGGTTGGAACTGCTGACCTTCTGGCTAGCGGCCGAGCACTTAACCACTATGCGAACAGGGTACCTATCGTACTGATACTGATACACCATACTTTTTTTTTTTTTAAATCTATTTATCAGCTGATGGACACTAGGTTGTTCCCAGTTTTTTGACTATCATGAATAATGCTGCTATGAACACTTGTGTACAAGTTTTTGTGTGGACAAATGTTTTCATCTCTCTTGGATATATAACTAGAATTTGAATTGGTAAGTCATGTGATAACTGTTTAACCTTTTGAGGGACTGCCAAGGCAGCTGTACCACTTTACATTGCAAATAGTAATGTATTTTAGGGTTCCAACTTCTCCAGATTCTTACTGGAGTCAACACTTCTTACTGTTTGTCTTTTAAAAATTGTAGGCACGCTATATGTGATAAGAATCTCTCATAGCACAGTGGTTAAAGTAATCAGCCGTGGCAATCTGCTTTTGTAACGATTATAGCCTTGGAAACCCCATGGGGCAGTTCTACCCTGTCTTACCGGGTTGCTATGAGTTGGTACAAGTAATCCAGGACATCACATATGAAGAATGTAAAAGGTCATTAAAAGGATAGGAAAGGGAAAAAAAAGACCAAAATAGATGTAAAGAAGAATGTCTGAAACTTGTTCTTGAATGGAGAGCAGCTACAGCAAATGGAAGAAACGATGACGTATTAAGAGTTGAACAGAAGACCGCAACAACAGCTAGGGAAGACAAAGTATTACAACAAAATGTACAAAGACCTGGAGTTAGAAAACCAAACAGGCAGAACATGCTCAGCATTTCTCAAGATGAAAGAACTGAGGAAAAAAAGTAAGCTTGCACTACTGAAGGATTCTATGGGCAAAATACTGAACCATGCAGGAAGCATCAAAAGAAAACTGAAGGAAAACAGAGTCACCATACCAAAAAGAATCAGTCAATGTTCAACCTTTCTGGACACAGCAAACGATCAAGAACTGACTGTATTTAAGGAAGAAATCTAAGCTGCACTGAAGGAATAGGCAAAAAACAAGGCTTCAGGAATCAACAGAATACCCACCGAAACATTTTAACAAACAAGATGCAACAATGGAAAGCTTCACTCATTTATGAAGAAATCTGGAAGACAGTGACCTGGCCAACTGACTAGACAACATCCATATTTGTGCCCATCCCAAAGAAAGGTGATCCAACAAAATGTGGAAATTATTGAACGATATGATTAGTATTATACACAAGTAAAATTTTGCTTAAGATATTTCAAAAATGGTTGCAGCAGTAAACTGACAGGGAACTGCCAGAAATTCAACCAGGATTCAGAAGAGATGGGAGATACCATTACTGATATCAGATGGATCTTGGCTGAAAGCAAAGATTATCAGAAAGATGTTTACCTGTGTTTTATTGACTATGCAAAGGCATTTGACTGTGGGGATCATAACAAATTATAGATAACATTGCAAAGAATGGAAATTCCAGAACACTTAATTATGCTCATGAGAAGCCTATACATAGACCAAGAGGCAGTTGTTCCAACAGAACAAGGGGATACTGCATGGTTTAAAATCAGGAAAAGTGTGCATCGGAGCTGTATTTTTCACCATTCTTATTTAACCTGTATGCTGAAGAAATAATCCAAGAACCTGGACTCTGCGAAGAACATGGCATTAGGATTGGAGAAAGACTCATTAACAAACTGTGATATGCAGATGACACCACCTTGCTTGCAGAAAGTGAAGAAGACTTGAAGGACTTACAGATGAAGATCAAAGAGTCTTCAGTATGGATTACGCCTCAACATAAACAAAACAAAATTCTTCACTACTGGATCAATACACAACATCATGATAAATGGAGAAAAGATTGAAATTGTCAAGGATTTCATTTTACTTGGGTCCACAATTAACACCTATGGAAGCAGCAGTCAAGAAATCAGATGACATATCATACTGGGCAAATCTGCTACAAGAGACCTTTTTAAAATATTAAGGAGCAAAGACATCACTTTAAAGACTAAGGTGTGCCTGACCCGAGCCATGGCATTTTCAATCGCCTCATATGCATGTGAAAGGTGGACAAGTGAGTACGGAAGACTGAAGAATTGATGCATTTGAATTATGGACTTGGTGAAGAATATGAAAATACCATGGACTACCACAGAATGAACAAATCTGTCTTGGAAGAAACAGATTTTTCCCCCCTCACTTCTTTCATCTTGAGAAATGCTGAGCATGTTCTACTATTTGGTTCTCTAACTCCAGGTCTTTGTGCATTTTGTTGTAATACTTTGTCTTCTCTAGCTGCCCTTTGCAGTCTTCTGTTCAACTCTTACACTTCATCATTTCTTCCATTTGCTGTAACTGCTCTCCATTCAAGAACAAGTTTTAGACATTCTTCTTTACATCTTTACAACTGGAATGCTCCTTAGAAGCGAGACTCTCTGGACTTCATCTTTCATACTTTGATCATATTACCAGAATGGACCAGGGCATCAAGAAGTATATCATGCTCAGTAAAGCAGAAGGCCAGTGGAAAAGACTCTCAATGAAACATACTGACACAGTGGCTGTAGCGATGGGCTCAAGCATAGCAAGGCTTGTGAAGATGGGGAAGGACCAGTCAGTGTTTTGTTCTGTTGTACACAGGGTTGCTGTAAAATGAAACAGACTTGATGGCACCCAACGAGTCAGATTTGACTCAACGGCAGTGGGGGGTTTGGTTTTTTGTTTGGTCACATGATATTGCACTGTGAAACCTGGAAGTTACTCTGAACATCTCTTCACTATCTACTCACTAAGTCTATTTTATTTTAGCCCCCTCACCACCGTGCTCCTGCTCTTTTCTCTGTTCTTCCACTATTGGCTTAAGTTCTCTTCTGCTTCTTTTGCCTGAACTAAGACCTTCTGCCACGGTCTCTGTGATAGTTGGAGCTGTGTGTCAACTTGGCTGGACCCCAGTTCTGTGTGGTTGTTCCCATGATGGGATCCGATGACTGTGTTCTGAATGGCCAATCTGCCCAAGGGGAGTTTCCCTAGGGGTGTGGCCTGCTTCCAGGATATCCAGGGACATCCTGGGAGGA